TTTACCCCATTGCATATTTTTGCTTCCTTTGTCAAATATTAATTGACCATTAATGCATGGGTTTATTTCTGTGCTCTCTATTCTATTCCATTGATTTATATGTCTGTTTTTATGCCAGTACCATGCTGTTTTGAGTACTATGACATTGTAGTATAGTTTGATATCAGGTAGCATGATTCCTCAAGCTTTGTTCTCCTTTCTCAGTATTGCTGTGGCTATTCAGAGTCTTTTGTAGTTCCATAAATTTATGGAATATTTGTTCTAGTTCTGTGAAATACACAATTAGTATGTTGATAGGAATTGCACTGAATCTATAGATTGCTTTGGGTAGTATGGGTATTTTAATGATGTTAATTTTCCCTGTCCATGAACACAGTCTATGCTTCCATTTATTTGTATTTTCTTCAGTTTCTTTCTTCAGTGTCTTATAATTTTCTGAGTACAGGTCTTTTACCTCTTTGGTTAAATTTATTCCTAGGTATTTTATTTATTTATTTTTGTTGCAACTGTAAATATACTTTTTTAAAGTTTCTCTTTCTGATAGTTCATTTTTTATGTATAAAAATGCAACTGATTTCTGGATATTTATTTTCTATTCTGCTACTTTACTGAATTCATTTATCAATTCTAGCAGTTATTGGGTGGAATCTTTAGGGTTCTCTATACACAGTATCATGTCATCCGAAAATAATGACGGTTCTACTTCTTTTTGTTCAATTTGGATGCCTTCTTGTTGTCCAGTTGCTGTGGCTAGAACTTCTAGTATTATGTTGAATAAGATTGTTGAAAGCAGACATCCCTATCTTGTTCCTGGTCTTAAAGGAAACGCTTTTAGTTTTTCCCCATTGAGTATGATGTTGGCTGTGGGTTTGTTGTATATGGCCTTTATTATGTTGTGGTATATTCCCTCTATTTGCATCTCAGCCCTTCCTACCAGTCTTGATGCGACTTCTTCTGTAAATCCTTGGTTGTAAGAGTTCTGATCAGCTGTTTTTCAGTCAGTAACTCAGGTTGATTGGTCTGTATTTTAGTTGTAATTGCAGTTTGGTCCTGGAAGGAGGTGAGTGCAACATGCACGTACTCCACTGCCAGCTTGGATCCCCTACCTCTTCATTTCTTACTACAAGAAAAATCTCAATAATCCAGTTATTCCATGGGTTATTATAATTTCACTTTTACTGGATTAACTAAATAATCAGAGGAAAAGTCATTTTTTTTCTGAGTTTCTGTGAATTTATTCTATAGAAAATCACAACTTTTGTGCCTGTGTAGATTGAGCTATATAGACATGTACTGGATGAGTAGACAAAACAATGTCATTTTAAACATTTTATTTATTTTTAGAGAGGGAAAGGGAGGGAGAAAGAGAAACGTCAATACGTGGTTGAGCCTCGCACACCCCCTAATGGGGACCTGGCCTGCCACTCAGGCATGTGCCCCGACTGGTAATGAACCTGCAACCCTGTGGTTTCCCAGCCGGCACTCAATCCACTGAGCCACACCAGCCAGGACCGAAAACAATCTTATTTTAAGCAGTGACTGTATTTAGGGTTTTGTGGTTCCTTATTCCACTTTTTTTGCCTTCCAATGCACACTGATTATTGAGGGAAAATATCTATTTGCAATTCCACAGGATCTTTTATCACAGTTCTCATCGGTGTTTGATTTAATGTGACATCTCCAATAGGCATGAGGGCAAGATTAGAAGATGTCTGATGATCCATCAGATAATGGGCTTGAAGCTGTTCAGAGAGGGTGTTGCTTCCTTTGCAGAACTGGTTAGAATTAGCCACTTTAGAGGTGGCTTTGTCTAAGGACACATATGTACTGTCACTGATGACAGAATAGAGATTTAAGGATATTATCAAGAAAATTGGATTGCAAGGAGAGAAATTAGAGTATGGCCTGGGTAGTAGGAAATTATTGTTCATTTTGTAGGAGTGATAATGGCATTCTGGTTGTGTAAGAAAATGTCCTTACTTTTTATACATGCACAGTGAAGTATTTGGGAGTGAAATGCTACGTCTGTATTTTTTAGAATAGTTTAGCAAAAAAAAGAGATTTTAAAATATGATTAAATGTTAATAACTGTTAAATAGAGATGATATATGCATGGATATTTGTTATACTTTTTCCACTTTGTTTGAAAATCTCTATAATAAGTAGTGAAAAAACTAACAGAGATAATACGTCTGTGCATGCACAAAAGGGACACATGGATTAAAATTTCTCTGGACTAATAGGCAAATTCAGTGTCCTGAAGTGGGGGGTTAGTTTCTGGAGTATGGTCAGTAACTTATAAACCAGTATAAAATGAAATTCCTGTGCAAAAATACTACTTATTTTATTTTTAAAAAATGCATTTAAAATTGCAGAACTGAAACTACAATGAAAGCATGATAGACATTTAGAAATGAAGACATACTCATTTTTATTTACCTAAGCTAAATGCTGAAAAGTTTGGGCGTTGACCTCAGGGTGAGGTAAAATGTTCCTTGAAGAAAATCACAGAATATAAAAGTTTGAGAAATTGGATTCTTGGATAAGAATCTGAGAGGAAATTGGAGTAGTCAGAATCGTGGTATAAACTAACTGAAAGTCTGAAGCTAATGACCTAAGTTATGAAAATGTAAACTGGACCAAGATGATTTTATTTTAGTCTTTGGAATTACCAGATTAATGTGCCTCTTAAAAATGCTTATTTTTGTCTTTTGAATGGTTATTACTACAGTATCTGTGTTCTACCCAAGTAATGTAATACTTTTTGATATGTTAGCAAAACACCTGTTTATCATAAACATATGTGTTTATTCATTTATTACCATAAAGCCACAGAAAGAAAATATACCTCTAATAGTGAAGGGATCCTTTTATTATAAAATTCTGGGAGAGCCCAGCTTCAATTGGGTTGACTTCAGGTCCTTTAATTCTTGCTGTACACAAATGCAGACCTAAATCTACTGTTATTGCATTTAATACATCATGTTGATTTAAAAATGTAAATGTTACCTATACAACACTTGCGAGCCCCAGTGCTTTAAATTTTATTTATTTACCTTTAGGGAGAGGGGAAGGGAGGGAGCAAGAGAGGGAGAGAAACATTGATTGGCTGCCTCCTTCCCACACCCCTTCAGGGGATGGAAGTCGCAAACCAGGCATCTGTCTGACCTGGTATCGAACTAGTGACCCTTTGTTCTGCAGGACAACGCCCAACCGAGTGAACCACACTGGTCAGGGCCAGTCTTGTTCATACGGGGAAGAAACTCTTTCCTTTGCAACACCAATTTATTTTCCAATTAATAAATATAAAATGGGCTTGATGTGAAGGAGGGGACCCCTGGTGAGAAATGTTTCACCAAATCAATATCGCCATTTGAAACGACTTTAAACCTATACTCAAGATGGACATGACTTTTACTACATATGAAACCTCTGGTACACTTGGCCTTCCAAAAAGCAGGTGCTGCTGATTAACCAGGACAAGGTGCAGCTGTGTGATAGGAGGAGGGGACGGGCAAATCCGAATCCTTGATTCCTTGGAATTTGCTTTTTATCCAGAGGAGTGTGGTTCAACAGATCAGACCATAGACCAAGAAACAAAAGATGAAGGCTATTCTAACGTCTTAAAATTTAAGTGTGTCTCTGAAGTTAGCACTGCATTAACAAATTTTTTAAAAAGAACAGGGTGCATTACTTCGAAGTCTAGTTTTCCTACTAAGTACTGACCTCAGGGTCTTTATCTGCAAATTTAAGAGATCTCTCATTAAATAACTGCTAACATTTCTTCAAACTGTTTACTCTGTGCCAGGCACTGTTTTGAGTGCTTTACATTAATTTTTTAAATTTTCACAACTCCATAAAATAGATATTCTGATTATGCCTAATTCATCCGTTAGGAAACTCCACATTTTGAGGTGATCAAGTGCTGGGCAGTCAAGGGTTTTAGCGGCAGGAGGGCCCGGGGAAGGCATTTCATCAGAGAGGCAGAGCAGCAAGGTGGGTAAGGGTGCAAACTCTGTACCCAAAATATGTAGCTTTCAGACTTGGATCCTTCACTCGTTAGGGTCACCTGCAGGGCAACCGACTAACCTTGGTTTGCCTCAGTGTCCTCATCGGTAACACGGGGCTGGTAGTGGCGTCTGCATTGTAAGGCTGTTAGGATGCAATGTGCAGTGTCTGTCGTTAACTAGGAAGTTCTCAGTAAATGTTACAGATGAAATGAGGATGAGGGTGATGATAGGGACTGGGTCAGTAGACACTATCATTTTACTTAGAAGAACATCTGACAGTATTAGGAGATAAGTTTGGAAAAAGTCTGCTGGTTGTAGTGGTGGTCTTGATGGAAAGAATGGAGTTATTATTAGTGATACTGGATGGTTTCTCAGAGAAAGGAAGGAATTCGGTGGAAGAAGGAAAGCAAAGAGGGGGATTGTTGGCCTACACAGGCAGGAAAATGCGTGTTATAATTCGGTGAAAAGTTCAGAGGAACACGGTGACAGTCCCACATAGAAATGGGACCGAAATTCAGGTGCTGATACGGAGTTATTGCAGTTCCTCTGGATCATCCCAGACACGTATAAAGTGTTAGAGCCAAATGGGGCCTTGGAAATGTCCTGCACAAACCTCTCCTTTTACTTTTTACATTTCCTATGAGCACAGCATTTGGTGAAATTTGGCCAGTAGCACAGTACAGTGAAGCGGGGAAATGTGTGGTGTGCTGAAAGAGGGATTTCAAGTAAGGATGAAGGGAAAGAGAGAAATTCCTTAACCTTCAGAGTGATGCCCCGCTAGGAAAGCAGTATAGATACAGCAGTGGATTTTCCCAAATTAATTAAAAGAGGAAGAGAGGGGAAAGGGGGTAGGGGGAGGGAGGGTGGGAGGGAGGAGAGAGAGAGAGAGAGAACACTAACTTTATGCTAAATAAAGTCAGATTGGGTTTGCAGCTACTGTTTAAAAAGCCTATGATAAAGAAAATTCTTTTTTTTTTTCATTATTTCTAGGAACTTGGTTTCCTAAAATGGAAAGGAAGTTTGGGGGAGTTTGGCAGCATTGATGGTTCCAGCACATGAAGACTCAAGCCATTTGCAGCTGGTGTTGAAACTAGTAAGCAGTTAATGTTCATCTGTTAATCTGTTACAGTTCGGGATGACTATATCTTGGCTTTTTAAAAAGTGGCTTTCAACTACGTTTCTGCTTAGGGCATTCTTTTAAATAACCAAGGGTCTTAATAGGAACTAATGAGTCAGGTTAATTTGATGTGGCGTTCTGAGCAGGGGAGAGGGCAGGAACCCTCATTTGGAACACTAAAAATGCTTTGCAGAGTTTCCGGTACAGTTCTCCCAGCCAGAGTTGGGTTGGAGGGAGTTTCTCCCAGGGGGTTAAAGGCTCCCCACTGTGCCTGCTCCCCAGTTACAATAGCATCGGGTTACTGAATGAGGACTAGATTGTCTGTTTATGTGGAGAAAAAAAAAGCCAACAGCACAGAGGCTGAAGCAAAGAGAAGGTTGTTATGGCTCTGAGCCCACTTGTGTATTATTCTTTATAAAAAAGCATTTACCTACCATGTCAGTATTTTAGAAAGAGGCTTTTAGTTTGTCATTTTTTTTATTAAAAAAGAAAAGCATTGCTGTTATTTCTGCCTGTGTTATTGTCTGCGCTGTTGTAGGGGTTGAGGACTTCGGAGGCTCTCCGTGCGGTGCCCCTCCGCCTTGGCCGAGGTTGCAGGCCATGTCCCTTGTGGGAGAAAGGCTTCAGGAAAAGGGGCACAGCTCCGGGATGGATGCCATGGTAGTTCAAGTCTGTCTTCTTTTTGCCTTTTGGTCCTGACTGCCCTGGCTGCTCCCACTTAGCATCTGCTGGTTGTTGGGTGTCGGAATCGAGTTAGAGACGAAGAAACTGAGGCACAGTGTAGTTACATACTTACCTTCAATCCTTCAGGGGCACATGACAAGGAGAACAGAGAGGCAGAACTCAGACTTGGAGTCTGGGTGGAGACCTAGTAGGCCACGTTGCACCTGCCTTAGACATTGGTTGGGCCTGTGAGTGGCCGACTCTCCTACCCTCAAAAGAAAACTGCACTTTGCTCTTACAAAATCATCTGTACCAGAAAGGTCACATCCTTTGAAAACAGGGCTTAGAAATGGAAACTAGGCAATAGTGACTTCAGGGAGAGGAACTTTTTAGTGCTCATGCATATAAATTTTATACGTTCTGTATTGCTCTAAAGTTTTAAAATTTGTTATGAGCAAGATACTTTCAAAGGTGTGAAAGGTGCTGTCTGTGGTTGGCATTATTCCTTGTCGTTCTAACTTACTTAAGCTCTCCAACTTTATTCATCCGTGTTTGACCCCCAAATGGGATGTTCTGGTGAAGAACAGAAAATAACGAGGGTCTGGCAAATGAAAGCTCACAGGTTCCTGGTGGGGGTTGCAAATATTTATGTTCGGGGTACGGAGAGGTAACATTAGCCAGATGGTAATACGTGCACCGAAACACAGAAACAAAATCAGAATATGCCCTCGGGTGTTGGGGAGAGCAACATTGGGCAAATTTTGTTGGTTTGTTAAAAAAAAAAAAAAGCCAAGTATGGTACAGTACAATTATATAGAGGGAAAACTAGAAAACATATCTAGGAAAAGAAATTCAGGGAAGAAACACCATAATTAGTTCTCACGTCCCCTTTTAGAGTTTGAAATAGTAGATCCTTATGTAAAATCAGGGAAAATGTAAGGAATCTGAAATATTTCTAAGCAGAAGATAATTTTTCTCTGGAGAGAAGGCATGTGAGTTAAGAATGCAAACCTGCATTAAAATGGAGAGAAAATTATGAGCAGAAAGAGGGAGAGGGGCAAAGAGGGTCACTGTTTTAAAATATTTACCCTAAATCTTACTCTGTCTTAGAGTGTTTATTATTTCCATCTTAGAGTATTTAGTGTTTTAAGTATTTCTTTTTGGAGGAATTGACTTGAAGCTAGAAAAGCTTTTGAAAGTTAGAAAGTTTAGGGGTTATATTTTTTCTTTCACATTTATTAGAAATTTAGGCCATAGAAACTATGTATTAAATAGGCATTATTATGTGTTAAAAAGCATTTAAAACATTTAAGGATAGTTAATGACAAATATATTGAAAGAGTATTAAAACCTTCTTATAAGACTCTGTGATAAAATTTAAAATTTAAAACGGTGGTTTTTTTAATGGGCAGTTTTGATTTCATTTCATTATATTTAAGCCTTGCTGTCTAAAAGGAAGGCTCAAAAAATTCAAATAGCCATCATCCTATATTATGATTTTTAACAGAAAAGTGATTACAATAATTAACCTGTATCTTCTTCATTTTTGTAGGAAAATGCCAAAAGCTTTATCTCCTGAAGAATTGAGGAGATTCTTGTAAAGGTGAAACTTTTCATCTTTGGGTAAGGAAATATTTTCTATTATTTATGTATCTGTTGAAAAGAGAGTATTTCAATTAGAGGGAAGAAGAAACATGTACGTAAGCTCCGCTCATCCTAAATGATATACAACACTATGAAGATTATAGAAAGCCAGATTTTTAAATTAAATAAAATAAATTAGTTGGAAAATTTTCACTTAAAAAGATCAACTTCTGAGGGAAAAAATATAAGACCCTTTTTTTTGCACTTTCTAACAGGCTGACATGATAATAGGATCCCTATTTTCTGTCTTTTCTAAGTATTTAAGACAAGACAAAATTAAAATTATATTTAGCAAAATCAGGAACTAGAGATTTTTTCAGACACTTAGAATATTCCTAAACATAAATGTGGACATGTGTGATAATAAATAAAGTACTATTGTGAAAATTTGAGAGATTGGTCACTGCTTTATAAGCAGGCCAATGAATTAAAGTTAATTAAGATTTGGGCAGTGACAGAGAAGCTTAAATTCTGGGATATACTCACATGGTAGGAAAATATTGTTTTGTAGGATCATAATGTAAATATAAGCAAGTTGTTTAATCAGACAAGAATCTGTCTTTTGTTTTTCAGTTTTTGTTTGTGTCATACTAGTAACAAGAGGAAAAAAAGACAGACCAACTTTTTGAGCATATTAGAATATTAGCATTCATTCAATTTTTGGCAGTAATTCTATTAATGCATTTTACTTATATAAACAGTATAAATTACATGTATGAAAATCGGATGTTTTAAAGCAGATAAACTATAAATGCATTTAAATGTCTAAACAAACATTTGGAGATGCTTTGAAGTATTTTATGCAGTTAAAAGGCTGAAAGAAGTAGTTATAGAAATTATACATAAAATCTGTTGTAAGCTAAATACAAATTTGTACATTCTAGCTTTGCCACCAACACCACATTTGGAAAAAGAAATAGACTGCAATGTTTGTCTTCTATTAATATGTATTCTCAAGAGTAAACAAGATTTCTCCTAATTTTAAATACATTAGTACAGGTTCTTATGAATACTTTTAAAAACCATAGTATAGAGGTTTAGGTTTTAAGAAATACATGTAAAAATTCATGTGGTTAAATAGAATCTAAAGACTTTGGGAGAAAAATACTGAATTTTTTTATATGAATTTGAAGAATTTATTTCTAGAATAAATTTATTTTCTCCTTATAAAGACATTCATGTTAATATTAAGCATATAGGTTAAAACTTACTTAAATGACTTAATTAGGATATACTAAACTTCTAAGTTATTTTAAAAGAAGAATGATAACCTGAAAAAATTATAGAAGTATTTCTAATGTAATCTTTAAATAAAGCTCTTTAATGTATCAGTTTTCAAATTTTATATTTTGATGGATAAAGTAAAAGAAAACATGACTACCTTCCTAATGGAAAATAATCTTATAGCACTGAGAAGAGAGTTGTAAGCAGGTAATAAATATATGAGGAGATCAGTTTCATTTCTGACTTGTTTTTAAGCGTTTCTTGTGAATCACATATTTTAACATTTAGAGAGTCATATATAAAACATACATTTGATTATTATGGTCTATTAAAAATAAGGAAAAACTGAAATTTTACCTAGCTAAATTCTATCTAAAGTGTTAAGTGAAAATTAGAAAAATGCAGAAGCTATAATAGTATAATGAATTAAAATTTCAAAATATATGTGTTTGTACAATTTTTTATATCTAAGCATATAGCATTTATCTTAATTGCTAATGAAATTACGTGTAACATGAGTGAAAAAAATAAATATGGAGAAGTATTTTCTCATTGCATGTTACTAGATCAAAAAACTTCCTAATGAGTTAAATGTAATGTTAAGAGACACATTTAAAACAAGATTTTGCAGAAGATGTATCTTTCCAACAAGGTTTTGGGTTTTGTGTGTGTGTTAGGATTTCTGACTTTTCTGGTTTAAAATTCATGATAAATTTTGAGTGCCCTGTCAAATAGCAAAGTGTTCTTGTAGTAAAATCAGACATTGTGTACATTTTGTGTTCATGTTTGGGTATGAGAAAAATAACAGGTCCTTAGGGAGAATTCTAGTTGTTATTTTAGTGCCCATGTCAAATACCAAACAATTATTTTGTCTGTCAGATAATTACACGTCTAAGCAAGTTACAGTTTGTGTAAGTACATCTTAGATATTTAACATATATTGACGATACAGTGATCTCTAAATGCAACTGTCATCTTTGCTGAAATTATGGATAATATATTTAAAATAAATGCACTTTAACATTTAGTTTTTAATTAAAATGAGAAAGACTTTGAAGGAGTTCTTCTGTCAGTGACATACGTAACTGTGCAGTTTTCTGAAAGAATGAACTCTTACTTTAATTTTCAGATTTTATTAAAATGTTTCTTCCCTAGTTGTTTGCTGACATTTTAAAGCCAGAAAGGAATAAAGCTCTAGTATATGTTATTTCCGATCATCTTTCTATCAATAGAGAGGGAGAAAGGAAAAGCAAAATATATTGGCACAGTAGAGTTTTCCCTTAATAAATTAACTCGAAATTGAAAAGATATGTTCCCCCTAACTAATTTGTCTTACTAGGACTTATTTAGAGTCGCATGAATTTTATGAACCAATATATTTGAGGAAATTTGTCTTGTAAAATGGAGAGGTATCAGGCATTGTAGTCAGATATAGGACTAGTCTTTCTCTCTTGTTAAGTCCCAGAACTTAGAAAACAGACTTAAATTAATAATGTTGAATACCAAAACCTCTGGGCTATAGTAATGTAGAAAAATGCCAAAAAAGTATAAAGGCGCAAGGGGAGATTGATTGAAGTTTAATGTACCCTTTCAATGATGAGCATGTTGCACTGGGAGGAGTGCTCACAAACTAACAAATAGTACTCTATCAGGATTAATTTTCTGGGTAGCTGAGGTTGTTTGTGTGATAAAGCAGGGCGTCGAGAGAGCAGAACTGTAACTGCTAGACAGAGTTTGCAAAGTTAGTTTCGGATTGTGCGGGTGAAAGTTAAGTGCAGCACTTGGGTGTAGGGAGCGACAGGGCAGCAGGTTGCCAGCTCCTTCGCCACGACAGGGTTAACCGAGGCGCTGCCCGGTGCACTCTGGGAGTTGTAGGCTTCGGGCATTGTGGGAGTTGTCGTAAAAGGTCACTTCCTAGTTGTGATGGCTGCCTCGGAGGCAAGAGTTGAGGGTTTTTGTCGTTCCGCACGGTTTGGGGGCTCTCTGCACCGTCAGAAGGCCACCAACGGCCCCCAGATCGCCGAGGGTCTTTAAGTGTGTGCCAGGGAAGTGGACGAGTGGCCTGGCGGGGTAACGGTGGGGCCTGCTGTCGCTAGATTGGCCAGGGGGCCTCCGGCGGCTGCGGGCTCGAGGAGGGGCACCATTCTAACGGACCCTGGACGTCTGGCCCTTTGCCTTTGAACTATTTGGGTGGTCAGCGCCTAAGCGTTTAGGAGTGTGCTTTATGTGGTTGTAGTTTGTGTCCTGTGCCCCCTTCCTCTTTCTTAACACCTCTCGACTCTCCAGTGTAGTCGTTGATGTTCACGACACTATTTGGGATTAGGTGGGCTTGTTTTCTTGGGTCTGGTGGGATTTATGCAAGAATTGGGGATTTGGGAAGGTATGGACAGTAATAGTCTGTGTGTGATTTCTCTTGTTTTAGGCTTGAGAAATTGCACGAGTTGTGAGCGTGTCCGTGAATGTGTGCTTCGCTTCCCCCTGCGTGTGGTGACCCCTGCCCTTGGTTGCTAATGCTGTCAAGCAGTGGCAGGCATTTGTGAAATGTTTTTCTGTTGACTTGGATGTGTTCTTAAAACTTTGGAGCCTCCAGAAGACCGTTTGGCAGTTGTTTGTAGAAGGGTATTGTGTGCAAAAGTGAGTTTAAAACAAATGCCAGCATTGTAAGTACATTTAGTGCAGAGGAGCAAGCCCCTTGGGTTTCTCGTGTGCTGTGGAGTTGTTTTGGGTACTTTTATGGGAATCAGGTTTGCTTTTAGCTTCACCATAGTCTTAGCTCACAGGGGTGCTCTGCATGTTGGCACACTTTGATCTTTGTTATTGGTTACTCCATCAAGGTGAGGCAAGGCGTGATACTGTCCAGACCTGTAATGGCATGTAGCAGAATCTCAGATAACACCAGATTGCCAAGTAGGTCAGTACTTATCTTACCTGCTTGTACAAACTTGGACTTCACTATTTCTGCCACCATGCACTGTATAAATTATGCCTTATTTCGACAGTCTGGTTGATTTCTGTGTAACTTGACTAACTGGTCGTGAAGAGCTATTTCTCAAACCATGCTACTTAAAAGCTTTTACCCCTACGAGTAAAACTGGTGTCTAGAAACTTTTTCACTCACTTGGTGAAGTAGGGGATTTGAAAGAAGGCACAAGAGTGATTTTGGAAATCGGCTATCAATTTTTAATTTCGGGCCAGGGAACATGACAGAATTGATATACAGAGTGAAAAAAGAATGTGTTACCTTGCTTTTCTTGGCATTTTCGAATACCGAAAACCTGTTTCTATGGCATTGTGTTAGACTTCCTTCATATATCATTAAAAGCACTTTGATGTTTTGTGATGAGCTGGTTTTTCAATAATACTCTTCTCATCTGAGTTTGCTTAGTACTCGACTACTTGAGAATACAGTAACGGTAGAGAAAGGAGCAAAGCTGGATGGGTTTCTGTGTGTGTTTCTGCTGAATGTTATTTCAGGTATAGATTGATAGACTAATATTGTTGCCTTCCTAGTGGGGTCTCAGGAAACTATTTCCTTCTCTTTGGCCTGACTCCACTGTGTTTTAGAATATTAACCAACTTGCCAATTGAAAAAAGACTGGGAAACTTATCTTAAAATGACATGTAGTATCCCTGTTTACTATTGTTTGGTGATGTGGTAAAACACTATACATTGGTTTTGTATTTTAGGAAAACTGGATGGCTAGAATTTGTAGATTTGTAGAATCATTCAGAGTCATTCAAAACCACCCACAACCA